ATTTCAAGATGGTTTGTTCTTACTTATTGAAACATTTTTTAAATATTTTATTTATTTATTTTTAGAGATGGAAGGGGGGGGAGAGAGAGAGAGAGAGAGAGAGAGAGAGAGAGATATCAATGTGCGGTTGCTGGGGGTCATGGCCTGCAATCCAGGCATGTACCCTGACTGGGAATTGAACCTGCAACACTTTGGTTCGCAGCCCACGCTCAATCCACTGAGCTATGCCAGCCAGGGCTTATTGAAACATTTCTATAATATCTGCTTTAAATTCTTTCTTTCTAGGTAACTCAAACATTTGTGTCCCATATCACTTCAGCATTGGTGTTGAAATTTTTATATTCTTCGTGTGCTGAAATTTTTGGGTTGTATCCTGCACATGTTTAATATTATGCTATTGGATCTTATATCTTGCTTTAATCTTAAAGGGAAATATCCATATATTTGTTTTAGTTTGTAGTCAACATGGCTGGGTCCAGATCACAAGTTCTGAACTGCCTTCTGTGGATCATGGCTCCAAAGTCAATTCAGTTTTCAAAACTTTTGTAGTGTTTAAATCTGTACCACAGGTGTTTTATCCAGTGGCTAGTCTAGGATCTGGGTGATCTGTTTCTTAGTTCAGTTATTATAGTCTTTGGTATGTCAAGATCAGATCTACATGGAGATCAAGGTGGATCTAGGAGTTCATAATGACTTTGTAGGATTCTTTCTCCAAACTCCTCACTCTCCACAGTTTTCCTGCCTGATACTTTGCAGTTCCTTGGAGTTCCCCATTTTGATCCTTTGACAAGAAATCTGAGTCTTTGTTTACTCCTCTCTGCTTTGCACTTCCTGCAACTTTGCCCATGTCTGGGGCCAAGCAGCAGGAGGACAGAGAAAGATAAAAAATGTCAATGGGGTTTTCCCCTCACTATCTTGGAACCACAGCTACTCTAACCCTATCAGAAGGTTCCTCTCTCCCTTAGCATTTTAAGCACTCGATAGCGCTGCTTCCTCCATTGTCACTGTCATAGGGAGATTGCCTATTGGCCAGGGTATGAGAGAATTGAAAAAAAGAAAAAATGGTGTACTCCCCCACTTTCTCTGGATTTTAAGAGATCTATTTTCTACTCTTACTGGTATTCTCTCTCCATATCTATGCCCCCTTCTGAGTTTTGGGCTGTCTTAACTGCAATCTAGTGGCTAGTGGAGGAAAAAATTGGTAAACTCGTTGCCAGTTCTTATACTTCAAATTCTGGTGTTCGTTCCCAATTTACCTGATACAATTTATGTTTTAAAATCCTTAAACAGTTGCTCCATGCATTCTACTCAGGTTTTATAGCTGCATTCAGTGGGAAAGAGTAGGTTAAATGTTATCATTCTGTGTTAACTAGAATCATGACCCTTGTATTGTATAGGTTAGTTTTCATACACAAATGTGTACAGATAATGGAGTGTTTTCTTTGGTGTATATTTGTGTTGGGATTAACCTTTTCATATACTATCTCAGGCAACAACTTTATACTGTAAATACTCTTCTGCATATCTATTGCTATGGAAGACACCCTCAACCTTAGTACCTTAAAATAACATAAATCATTTTATCATTGCATAGATCCAGGGATTGATTAAGAAGCTAGGTGGTTCTTCCTTGGGGTGTCTCAGATGTTTACAGTAAGATGGTGGCTGAGAATTAAATAATTTGAGGGCTCACTCACTCATGTGTGTGGCATATGGGCTGGGAACACTAAAAAAAGCTGGGGTTCCTGTGGTGTCTATCTCTATTTCTATGTGGTTTCTCCAGCATGGCAGCTTCAAGGTAGATAGATTTCTTTTTTTATTTTCTACACTTACTGAGATATAACTAATATATAACATTGTAAGTTTAAGGTATACAATGTGTTGATTTGATACATTTATATATTACAATATGGTTACCATCATAATGTTAACTAACACTTCCATCACATCAACGAATTAGCATTTCAATTTTTGTGGTGAGAACATTTAAGATCTTCTCTTTCAGAAACTTTCAAGTATATGGTATAGTATTATCTATAATCACGATGCTGTGCATTAGTTCCTCAGAACTTATTCATCTTATAACGGGAAGTTTGTACTTTTTTTCCATTTCCCCCACTCTGGGCCCTGGTAACCAACATTCTACTCTCTGTTTCTACTAATTAAGCTTCTTTACATTCCACATATAAGTCAGGTTATACAGTATTTGTCTTTCTGTGTCTAACTTATTTCACTTAGCATGATGTCCTCAAGGTCTATCCATATGTCCCAAATGGCAGGATTGCCTTCTTTCTCATGGCTGAATATTCCTGTGTGTGTGTGTGTGTGTGTGTGTGTGTGTGTGTGTGTGTGTGTGTTCTTTATCCATTCATCCATTGATGGGCACTTTCTGTATCTTGGCTATTGTGAGTGATGCTGCAATAAGCATGGGAGTGCAGATATCTCTTTGAGATACTGTTTTAATTTCCTTTGGATATATATCTAGAACTGGGAGTGCTGGATCATATGGTAGTTCTAATTTTAACTTTTGGGGGAACCTCCATAGTGTTTTTCATAGTCACTGCACCAATTTACATTCCCACCAAATCAGTACACAAAAGTTCATTTTTCTCTACATTCTCATCAGTATTTTTTAATCTTCTGTCTTTTTGATGATAGCCACTCTAACAGGTATGAGGTGATATCTCATTGTGGTCTAGATTTATTACATGGAAGCTCAGGACTCCAAAGTGAGAGAAAGAAGGTGAGAGTGAGTCAGGTAGAAACTAGGCTGCTTTTTTATGACTTAGCTTCACAAGTTACCCAGTCTTCATTGCCACATTCTATTCTTTGAGGCAGTTGCAAGGGTCTACTGAAGTTCAAGGGGGTGGGAACATAGATGCCCCTTATTGATGGGAGAGTGGCATGGTTCTGGGAGAGCATGTGGGATTGGAAATATGCTTGTGGGCATTTTTGGAAAATACAATCTGCCACAAGTACTAAGAATTTTGCACTTTTAAGGTAGCTCCTGAGTTGTCCTCAGAATGAACGATATATAGGGAGAAGTTCTGTTTTTGACTTTTGGGGACCCAAGGGGGTGTAATATTAAATATTGTGATCAGTATAGCCAGTTTTCAGCAAACATAGATTTTAATGAGTTTCCAGAAATTAGATCAAGTTTTCCCATTGTTATATAACTTTCTCAGTGACCATCTAAGTTGTTAGTGTTTGCAATTTCATTGCAAACCTTCATGGAATCATAGGGTACAGTGGTACCTTGGTACTCATCATTAATTCATTCTGAAACTTGTGATGAGTGCCTAAATCAATGAGTACCAAACTATGAAGCATTTTCTCTTGTGGGGTGGTGTCATGACTCATGCAAGTTCTAGAAAGTGCAACAAGTCCCAAGCAAGTGCCAAGATCTGAAACATTTTTTTTTCCCTCATCAAAATGTGATGAGTACAGGGTTTGATGAATTCTGAAGCCGAGTACTGAGGTATGACTGGTATATGGATTTTTCAGGGTTTGGGTGACTGGAGGAATAGGAAACTCTACCTAAAATCTAGATGAGATTCTTCTGCTTAAAGAAGGGCCTAAACGGGCTTGCCAGAGTGTTCACCTAGAGGGGAAACAGGAAGGCTGCAGTACTCCAAATATCTTTCCTACCTAATGCCATCTCTATCCTATAATTGCTCTTTTAGTTCAGCTTTGCTTTCCTCAATGAATCCTCTAAAAAATGCAAATGCCTCTGGGAGAGAAATCCAGGAGAGAAATCCCGGATTTCTCTGAAGCAGTTGGTTTCAGAGTGGTTCAATAAACACTTTAAGAGTACAGTGCTAGGCACTGGGAATTCAGTGACTATAATTTGGTCTCTCTTTTCTTTCAAGATTTTATTTATTTGTTTTTAGAGAGAGGGGAAGGGAGGGAGAGAGAGGGAGAGAAACATCAACGTATGATTGCCTCTCACGCTCCCACTACTGGGGACCTGGCTTGCAACCCAGGCACGCACCCTGACTGGTAATGAAACCAGTGACCTGTTGCTTGCAGTCCAACGCTCAATCCACTGAACCACACCAGCCAGGGCGCTCTTTTCTTTCTTGAACAGGGTAGCTTGAAAATTCTAGTTCCTGAGAATTTGTTCTGAGAGGTTTTATCCTTCAGAGTCCAGTTTATAGTTTTTCCCAGAGCTGGGCCTGATCCTAAGAATTATCTGAAGACTTTCTGGGCTACCATAATGTCAACATAAAAGTAATACACGATGCCCCTCCCCCCACCCGTTCCACCACTCATCTACCTGGAATGGCAAGTGTTCAGCTCCTTCAGCCCTCTTCCCAGAATAAGGAGTGAGTCTATTTTTCAAGTGGTGAAGAATACATTTTGCTCTCCCCTCATTCCGACCCCTTGCGGGTCCTCGCTTTGGGACAGAGTAGAGCAGAGGTTTGAATAAAGCCTGGCAGATTCTGGGAAGCCCTGAAGGCTAGCAGGCACTATGAGTGGAAGGAGAGCTGTAAGGGGTAAGGTGGTTTCGTGGCTCCTCACTTCCTCCAGGGCCCCCACTTTATTGAGCTCAGGGTGGCTACACACACTATCTGAGATGAAACATTCTTCAGTGGCCCCGGAGAAAGGACTGAAGGCCACTCAGGGCGCAAATCCAAGCTGACGTTCCTGCCAGGCGGGTGACCTCTGGCGTCCCGTTTAGGGTATGTGGTGGCAAGGGCTCTAGAATCTGACCCCATGACCCCAGACGGCCTGGCCAGGTACGCCAGGACCCGGGGAGGAGCTCTGAGAAGCCAGGGGTTGGCAGCTGAGTCCGTGAGTCGAAGGGTGACAGCCAAACCTGCATTGGTGGCTCGACCGAGGGTAGGCACTGCGAGGCTCGGGGCAGAACAGGTGCGCGGGCGAGGGGGGGGTGGTGGGGGCGGTGCTTGGGGATCTTGCGCACTGCGCGCGCCCCTCCCCCTATCGAGCGCCAACGGGAGGAGGAGCTGCTGCTGCCACCACCACTCCAGCAGGTCTGCTGGTAGGAGTCAACTCGCCGATCTCGCCGATAGCGATAGCGCGGGCTGCAGGTCCACACGCCGGACAGACAGGCGGCTCTGAGGCCATGGAGCCAGGTGGTGATGACTCGGTGCGCTTTGGCCAGGGGCGGGCTGCCCAGGCGCTGCCAATGCGGTTGCTGCTGCTGCCGCTGTTGCTGGGTCGGGGGCTGCGTGTAGTGGCCGCGGCCTCCTCCTCTGGGGCGGCGGCTGAGGACAGCAGCGCCATGGAGGAGCTCGCTACTGAGAAGGAAGCGGAGGAGAGCCACAGGCAAGACAGCGTGAGCCTGCTCACTTTCATTCTGCTGCTCACGCTCACCATCCTCACCATCTGGCTCTTCAAGCACCGCCGGGTGCGCTTCCTGCACGAGACCGGGCTGGCTATGATCTATGGTGAGCACCCCGCTCCTGCCTATAACCCCAACACCTTTCGGGCAGCCTGGCCACTGCTTTCCTCTCTGTGCTTCACTGTGTTCCCCATCACTTGCAACGTGTTTTTTTTTTGTTGTTGTTTTTGCCTTTTTTCTTTCCCCGCTGCTACGGTGTTGGTTTCCAAGGTCAACTGTCTGCATTTTCTGGTTTTCTATTACTGTTGAAAAGAATTCAACCCCATTTAGACGTTTCTTAACGGGGAACCAGGAAAATGACAGGCACAAAGGTGGCCTGGTTCTGTCCACCGGGTTCTGACTTACCCTTGCCCCATCTCGCCCCGTACCCCTGCCCCAGTTCAGTTCAATAGAATGTGTGTGCCCTGGCGGGAGGTGGATGACCTCGCAGGGGACTGCGCTATCCTGGGAGGCAGGCCACAGTGAGGGTCAGGGCGAGGGCTGAGGGCTTCTTGGCTTTGGTATGGGCTGGGGTGGCCTGGTGGATGCTACATCCATGGGCAGCCTGTCTGGGGGTCCACTTCTGAGATGTGTTCCTTGGTCTCTAGTTAATAATGTGAGAGCATGAAGCACTGTGAAAGGTGATTGTAGTTCAGGACTCAGAGTGGTACACAGCCATGTTGGAACTAGTCCTGGAGATGGGCACGTCTTCCACCCTTATGTCCGGGGGGGAAGTTGTGCCCAGTTACTTGCCTTACTCCAAGAGGAGAGGAGTTTTTGTATTCCTCAGATTGTAACATGGACGTGACTTTGAAGATACATTTGTGAATGTATGAAGAGGCAAAGTAATGGTTTTAATTCTGGAGTCAGCCTTCTTTTGTTGTGAGGGGTGGGCTGTTGCCACCATCCTTTTCTGGATTTAATGGCACATGGTGTGTCACATGCACAGTGGTCAGTACAAATCTTCTGTCATTGTATGTGTCACTTAGCCACGATATGAATCATCCTTTCTTTCTCACTATGCCCCTAAACCCCACCCTGTCACTCCAAACAGGAACCAAGCATTCTCTTTTTGTAGAGTTAGGGCCCACATTGGCACGCTGATTTGAAATAGAAGAGCCCACCTCATGACCTGTCCCAAGAGGCAGCATTTTACTTTATCACTTATACTGGAAGGATTTCTCCATTCAATTTCCATTCAGGGTTCCCTGATAGAGAATGGAAAGAAGACACCTAAATCTTTAATGTGAAAATTACCCTTGGCCCTGGGAGTTGCTTCTCTTGGTTCTTGATTGGTTGTTGACAGCCCAGGCTAATGGCCACAAATGTTACAAAGTGCTGTCAGGAGCCCTCGGTTTTCAGGGTATCCACAGATCTTGAATGGAAACAGGACCAGGTCCAAAACTGAGTATGGTTACTGAAAATTACAGGTGTAAATACAAACTTTGGCCTTGATACTTGGTCATTCTTGAATTCTGTGGGTTGTGTCAGTTGGTGACAAATGTTTGATGCCAGGGCTGCATGTAAGTTAGGAGGTTTCCTCAGCAGAGAGCAAAGTGGGGAGTTAAAGCACATTATCATTTCTGGTGATTGATTCTAAGCCATAATGCAAATGAAGATTGCCTTTATATTACATAGATAGCCTTGAAAATATTTTTATTTTATAGCCCTTGTACCTGATTCATTAAAGTACAATGTAAAATATTTTAGAAGGTATCTTTGACAGGCTCATAAATACATGCTCAAGTGCATGGAAACCTAATGGGTGATTTAAAAATACATTTTCTGAGGAGTACTCCATGTTCTTAGGCTCTCAATCACCTTTATTTTAACGCTTAAAAACAGCAGTGGAATTTTCCTTTGCTGATATGTACTTTTTAGATTCATCACAAGCTTTTAGTCACTGGAGTTGTACTACAGTGTTTCATTTTGTGTTACTGAAATCTGGTTTAATTGGTGATTGTTCAGAAATGGCAGCATCATTTCATAGCATTCTGTGTAATTTTTGTACTATGTCTTTGGGTTTTAGTATTACTTTAAAATGTATTAAAAATTTTAGTTTGTCAATATGTAATGTCCTAGGTTATGCCAAATATTAATATTTTGATGTGAGTTGCTTATAATTGTGAGAAAATATTTCTCTCTGAGATAGTCTCTTTTATTTCAAGAACCCCCTCCCAATCTGAATTCTAATGTCATTTGATTAGCTAATTATTCATTATATACCGGAGACTATCGAAATTCTGATAAAAAATGCAGTATGAAAATCTTTGAACACTTAAGTGAATGCAGTGCAGGTTTTCAGGACTTCTCTTTTTTAGTAGTAAGAAATCAGATTGCATTTGTTGAGATCAATAGAGGAAGTGAGTAATTGTCCTGTTGTCTCTGAGTAATAAAGGACAAATGACACAAGAAATATTTTAGTATCTGCTGCATGCTGGGGGCCTCACTTCATTTCTGGAGGTAAACAATTTAACTTTTAAATATGAGCAAATTGTTATGAGTGAAAGAGTTCAACTGTGAATTTTAAAAGTCTTTGAAATTAAAAAAATCTGATTTCTGCCATATTTAAGTGGTACTTTAATCTGAGAGGGAAGACTTTTATATACAAATATATTAAATTGTCCCTGGCTGGTGTAGCTCAGTGGATTGAGCACAGGCCTGGGAACCAAAGGGCCACCAGTTCGATTCCCAGGCGGGGCACATGCCTGGGTTGCGGACCTGGTCCCCAGTTTGGGCCCTCGATAGGCAACGACACATTGATGTTTCTCTCCCTTTCTTTCTCTTTCCCTTTCCCTCCCTCTAAAAAATGAATGAATGAATGAATGAATGAATAAATAAAATTGTGATAATACATATATTTGCTAGTATATGTATTATATGTATTGGTTTCCTTGTAGAGGTGAAGGATAGGAACTAGGTGGCCATGACATAGGGATTGGAGGGAGACATCACTCTATACACTTTTGTGCTATTTGATTTTGACCTTTGAAAGCATGCCCATGCCTTCATTCTGTGGCATTTGTGATGGTATTTGAAGATGCTTCTCAGATCATCCAATTCGATGTCCATTTCTCCTTATTTAAATCACATTATGTTGTCAATTTCTGTTGTCAACTTTCAATTGTTGTCTGTACCTATGCAGCTTCTGGGATTGAGACAATAGGGGGAAAGGGGAAGCTATTTTCTTTCCCCTTTCTCTTCTTCTTTTTATCCCATTATTCCCAATAAATAGTTGATGTTAAATTAGGAGTGGTGTGCACAAATAGATCCAACAACTGCACTTATTTTGATGCAAAGGACCCAAAGACAGTAAAAGACAGATACATTGTGAATCCTTACCATTTAAATGGAAAGTAACTCCCCCTTCCACCAAGAGAGATTTATAAACACTCCTCCCTGACAACAGCCCCAGACAGCTACAAGGGAAGGTAACCACAGACCAGACTCCAGGGAAGTTGAAAGCAGTACCCCAGACCCTGTGATGGGAGCTTCATGGCAACAGCCAAGGCCACTAGTGAAACCTGTTTTGTCAGGAAAGGGAGCTCCCAGCTGCCTGGTTCTGTAGTGATTATGTGCCATCCTAAAGTTACTGGGCACAGCATGTCTGTGCAGCAGAAATAGCAAGTGTTTGAGGCAGGGAAAGCTGGTATAAACAGACTGCGTCAGTTAATTGTGGTTCTCTCTCATGTGTACAGTAGTTCCACTTCCCCCATAATATTTTTGTGACAACTGATATGGGTCCAAAATACCTAACTTGGCCATGCTAGTCTACCACCTGCTTCTTGTTTCCCTCCTGCTTCCTGCCTATTAACTTTTCCAAGCCCCTCCAGGTTCTGTGGCTTGTGGGCTCACTGTTGCTTTGTTGGAGCTGGATTACTTAAGTACAGACTGAGAGTGGGTTCACAGGCAAAATTTGAAAGGGGAAAATGTGATCTTTTGCAGTAGCATGAAATTAACATTTGAGCCTGTGAACAAACATTTCAGGACCACCTTCTTCCTGGTTAATCAAAAGCCCTCATTTTTTAAAGAACTTGTACTTTGGCCCTAGTTTGGGCAGCTCCATAGGGTCTCACTTTGGTACAGATTGCTTGGGTTCAAATGCTGGCCAGGTTACTTCTAAAGCTGTATATAACATTGGGTAAGCTCTCTGAGCCTTAGCTTCCTCTTTTAAAAAATGCAGACAGTGTCACTTACCTCACAGGATTATTGCATGAATGAGATACTCTAAAGGTCAAGTGCAGTTTCTGGCACTTAAACACTTAGTAAATATTAGTTTTCATTCTCACTGTAGACTTTGTGATTCTTTGCTACTTGAGCCTGGTTCAGTAGAGACCTAATATAATTCGACAATGCATTAGGATGCAGTTAGTAGGAGTGAGGAGAGCTGCAATTTTTTGTGGGCTATTTGTTAATACCTAGGAAAAAGAGGTACAATGGATCTACCCTACTCTTTTATCCAGCAGTCTCAACTATTAGACTTTATTCTTCAGAAATGCTTGCATTAGTATGCTACATTACTTTCACTGCAGCATTTGTTGCAGCAGAAACAAGTTGCAGTGCTCATCAAGAAGGGACTGGTTTAAATGTATAGCACATTCCTGCTAAGGAATACTATGCAGCTGATAAAAGAGGTATTTTGGGATCTCCTTTTAAGGCTGCTGTCTACATATACTGTTGTGGTAAAAACAAGGCACAGATCAGTTATGTGTAGTATTATCTCATTTATTCCTTAAAAATTATGTAATATATGTATGTAAACATGATGTGTAGACATTTATATATGACATATATGATTCCCTGGAAAGATACACAAACTTAGCAGTGGTTATGTTTTGGCAGTGGGTTCAGTTGTTGGGAGAGAAGGAGGGAGATGTTGCTTGATAGTCTTCTGAATGGTCTGAAATTCCTGTAACACTGACACAATACTTCTACAATTGAAACATTGTTCTAAAATAAAGCAAATGACTTTTATGTAGTAAAAATACATTAGAGATTGATTATTGTTATGTGGTAAGGTAGCATTAATTATTTAAAAGTTATGAATAGAACTAAAATGTGTGTTAA